TATGTCTTTCTGGATGCTCAAGCTTAGTGGAGCTTACCGCATCTATTTGGAATGCCACAAGTCTCCAAAAATTGAATCTCGAATATTGTTCAAGCTTGGTGAAGCTTCCTTCCTCGATTGGGAATGCCATAAACCTCAAGGAATTATATCTCATTGGATGCTCAAGTTTAATGGAGCTCCCCGCATCTGTTGGGAATGCCACTAATCTCGAGATATTGGATCTCAGTAATTGCTCAAGTCTTGTGGAGCTCCCCTCCTCTATCGAAAATCTCAATAGTCTCCATTATTTGGATCTTAGTAATTGCTCATGTCTGGTGAAGCTCCCTTCTTCCATTGGGAATGCCACTAAACTTGGGGAATTGGTTCTCAATAACTGCTCAAGTCTTGTGGAACTTCCATCTTCTATTGGGAATGCCACTCGTCTAAGGAAGTTGGATCTCAGTAATTGCTCAAGTCTGGTGGAGCTTCCCTCCTCCATCGGAAACGCCACTAATCTTGAGCATTTGTACCTTAGCAACTGCTCTAGTCTGGTGAAACTCCCTTCCTCCATCGGGGATGCAGCTAGTCTCCAATGTTTGTATCTCAATAATTGCTCAAATCTGAGGGAGGTTCCATCTTCTATTGGGAAAGCAACTAGACTAAAGAAATTGGATCTTAGTTGGTGCACAAGTTTAGTGGAGCTCCCTGCCTCCATTAGGAATTCTACTAGTCTCTGGCAATTGGATCTAGATAATTGCTCGAGGCTGTTGGATGTTCCCTCTTCTATTGGAAATGGTGCTCGTCTCAAGAAACTGGATCTTAGTATGTGCACAAATATGGTGGAGAGCCAAACACATTCTAGTATCTATTAATCATATTGTATCTCCGTATCTCTAGTCTGGTGTAGTCTCTTTTCTATTTGGAAACTTCCATAAATTCTGTATGTTTTCGAGTTTGCGTATTGTCTTTGTAAATTGGAAATGTTAAGGTATCTGAAAACAACATTTACTTATTTTACTTTTATCTGTATGGAAGAAATACATCAAGTGGATGAAGCAACGAATCAGAGAAGCTAACTAAAAAAAAAAACAGTTTTTGATATTATCATACTTACATCATCATGACGCGTTTAAGCAATGCATTTGCTTACATCATCAACCTTATCATCATCCTACACTAATTTTCTCTGCATCTTCTTCGCTCTTGCTCTTGTTGACTTTTTTTTTGTTAAAGAACTTCGTCGCCGTTTCTTGGTAAGCTGAAGACTAGGGATATGGTATTCTCAACTGTGCAGTTCTAGGGTTTCTAATTCCATGGCTTCGTTAAGTAAATCGCCTACATCTCCTCTCGAAATATGGTTCTGTGTTTTGATTTTTGCTGAATATTCAACTGGTTATGCTTTAATTTTCGATTCCATGATTATTCAATCTGCTTCAATTTGATTTCTCTGTTCACCTATTTTGATGTGTCCTCTTGGCCCACGAGCCTTTCTCTTTCAGTGATTGTAGATCAATCTATCGTTCTTTGTTTTCTATTCTACTTCTGTTTTGATCTTGGTGACATTGACCTCAGTGTGTATCTGGGTCGGGTCTACCTCCAACACTCTCCTTGAGACTTCATCATGTGTTATTGCTTCAGAACAGGCCTTAAACCTTATCGTGTCTCACATATTAAACTTAGTCACGAACTAGTTGGGCTGTTCTATATAAACACTTTGTGCATCCTGCTCATGGATTTACTAAATCTCAACTTTCTTCCGTGTTTCTTCTACAAACATTTTGGTTGAGTGATCCAACCATGTTATGTTTGAAGTAGGATCATATTTTCAACAGTCTCTCACAAAAGCCTTTCTTTTCAGTATTTGAGATTGAAAAGTAAGTTCTCCACTAAACACAGTGTATTTTCTTTCTGTTTCTGTGTAGGTTCAACAATGTAAATAAGTTCATATCTGGCGACTTTGTGTGGGCATCTTCTTGGTGGAAAAGAACATTTAGCAACAAACTTCATTAAAATCTAAGAATCAACACGGCTCATGGACGATGGAAACAAGGCTACACACGTCATCGACATCAACTGCTCAGATACATTACAGTACTCCTTAGCTAGCCACCTCTCCGTGAATTTCAGACGGAAAGGCATTTATGCATTAGTAAATTGCAATGGGACTCTGGATGAGATAGAGAGAGCTAGTGCTTCTGTGGTGGTTTTCTCTAAGAACTACCTTTCCTCCACCTCATGCCTGGACAAGCTCGTGAGGGTTCTTCAGTGCCGGAGGAAAAACAGTCAGCTGGTGGTTCCAGTGTTTTATGGCGTTAGTCCATCAGATGTTGTAGTGTCTGAGCACGAGTCAGCTGATCAGCTAAGAGAATGGAGTAGCGCACTGCAAGAGCTAAGAGAATTACCAGGCCACCAGTCTAGGTAACTATGTACAGATTAGTCGGTCACTTGCGTTTTTATAAGAATATAACGTTCTACTTCAAAATGCTTTTTCCACCTATCAAAACACACCGCAAAAAAATTCTGAAGGGATTAATGTTTTCTCCAACAATTTACTTTATGATTTTTATTTAATGCAAACAGGGAGGAATGCGGTGATTGCGAACTTGTGGAAGAGATTGTCAAAGATGTGTATGAAAAAATATTTCCCACGGAAAACATTGGAATCAACTCGAGGCTCCGGGGGATAGCACACTTGCTTTGCAAGCAAACATGGGGTATCCGTCGCATAGGGATATGGGGTATGCCTGGCATAGGCAAGACGACACTTGCTAAAGCATTTTTTGACCAGATAGCTGGAGGCTATGAAGCTTCTTGTTTCATCGAACAGTTTGATAAGGCGTTTCATGAGAAGGGACTTCACCCTTTGTTGGCTGAGCATTTCGGGAAAATTCTGAAGGCATTGCCTGGTGTATGCAGTAGCATTACGAGGCCTAGCTTCCCTAGGGACAAATTAAACAAGAAGAGAACACTTGTTGTTCTTGATGATGTGCACAATCCTTTGGTTGCCGAGTCTTTTCTTGGAGAGTTTCATTGGTTTGGCCCAGGAAGCCTAATCATCTTAACCTCCAGAGATAAACAAGTTTTCCGCCTTTGTCAGATCAATCATGTGTATGAGGTTCAGAGCTTAAATGAGAATGAGGCGCTGCAGCTACTCTCTCACTGTGCATCTGGAAAAGATATAAGAGAACCAAAACTCCGAGAATTATCAATGGAAATGATTGATTATGCAAATGGAAATCCATTAGCTCTCAGCTTTTACGGCAGAACTCTTAAGGGAAAGAAACTGTCAGAAACGAAGACGACATCCCTCAAACGCGAGCTGCATACTCTACATGATATATTCAAGAGCAGCTACGAAACACTCGATGACAACGAGAAGAATATTTTTCTCGACATTGCTTGTTTCTTCAAGGGAGAAAATGCTGACTATGTGATGCAATTGCTTGAGGGGTGTGGTTTTTTTCCACATGTTGAGATTGATGTTCTTGTGGAAAAGTGTCTGGTGACTATTTCAGAAAACAGAGTGGACATGCATAATTTAATCCAAGACGTGGGCCGAGAAATAATCAACCGAGAAACAAGACAGATCGAGAGGCGACGCAGACTATGGAATCCTTCGACCATCAAACTTCTACTTGAAGATGACGAATTCAATGTAAATGGAGATCCCAAACCTATACACATGCTCTGGTCTAACATATTCTGATATTTTTAAACATAACATATACTTGTGGAGATGAGCCAACATATTGATCTATCTGCTTCCGTTTTCTTTCAGGGCACTGAAGACATCGAGGGCATATTTATGGACACATCTAACTTAATGTTCGATGTGAAGCCTAATGCTTTTGAGAATATGATCAACCTTAGATTCCTGAAGATTTATTGTCCCAGTGATGAAAAGCATTGTGGACTCCGCCTTCCAAAAGGACTTGAGTCTCTGCCTTTTGAGTTAAGACTCCTTCACTGGGAGAACTATCCTTTGCAATCCCTGCCACAAGACTTCGACCCATGCCACCTCGTTGAACTCAATATGCCTCACAGTCAGCTTCAGAAACTTTGGGTAGGAACCAAGGTAAGCAAACTCCTGTCCGTTGTCTTGTACCTTTTTTCCCAAATTTACGTTAATTCTTTTCCAATTTAATTTTCTGTTCAGAACCTAGAGATGCTGAAGATGGTCAGGCTTTGTCATTCCCTTCAGCTAACTGAAATTGATGATATTTGTAAAGCCCAAAATGTCGAGCTTATTGATTTACAAGGCTGCACAAAATTGCAGTGTTTTCCACCCATGTGTCATTTACAACATCTCCGAGTTGTAAAGGTCTCAGGTTGCAGAGAGATCAAAAGTTTTCCAGAGGTTTCAGCCAATATTGAGGAACTGCATCTCCAGGGAACTGGCATAACAGAATTACCAGTATCCTCTGTGACCCTCTCCCAACAAGCTAAGTTGAACCGAGAGCCGTCCAATCTTCCAACAGATTTCTCAGGTGATTCAGATGTTTTGAATGTTAAGAGATCAACAAGCCTGGTCAAAGTCATCTCATCTAATCAATACCTTGGTAAACTTGTTTGCCTGAATATGAAAGATTGTTCTCATTTGCAAAGTCTGCCTCACATGGTTGATTTAGAATCTCTTAAAGTTCTTAATATTTCTGGATGCTCAAAGCTCGAGCATATTCAGGGTTTCCCACGAAACTTAAAAGAGTTATATCTCGCTGGCACCGCCATACAAAAACTGCCACAGCTTCCCCAAAGCCTAGAAGTCTTGAATGCACATGGCTGTGTGTCACTCCAATCAATTCCTTTTGGTTTCAAACAGCTTCCTAGGTATTGCGCATTCAGTAATTGCTTTGCTCTTTCTGATCAAGTGGTCAGCGAATATTTAAAGAACGCTCTCGCTTATGTAGAATGCACAGCAAAAGAGTATCATCAGCAGGTAATGCTCTCTCTCATCCGCTTCCTCTCTGTTTTTCATGCGGCTTGTCATATCTGAGTAATTTTGGCTTGCGGGAACAGGAACTCAACAAATTTCTGGATTTCAGCTTCAGTGTTTCTCTACCTGCAAAAAGGAAATTCACATTTCATCTGCAACCTGGATACTCTTCGTTGATACAACTGGGTCCTTCTTGGAAAAGCACGCATGTGGCCTTTGCTATATTAGTTGAAGCTGCTTTTTCGGAGGATTACCAAAACGCTACCGCTTTTGGCTTCAAGTGTGTCTGCAGGTGGAAAGACAAGGAAGGCCTCTCTCATAGGCTAAAAAAAACTTTTAATTGTTGGAGTCCTGGGGAAGGTGATCAGAAGTTTCAAAAGGAACACCTGTTTGTCTTCTGTGATCTCGATTTGCATCCGAGTACCAGTACAGGAAAGGACCCTGATATATTGGCTGATCTTATTGTATTTGAAATTTATCCTGTCAACAAGCAGATGGAACTTGTAGACGAGAGTTGTACTGTGACGAGATGTGGAGTGTATGTAATAAATGCTGCAAATGGAGATACAAGTCTTGACATGAGTCAACTGGTATTGTCCTTGGATCACCCAAAGATGCTTTCTGATGATGAAGTTGAAGAAGCATTCAGGGGCTTAGATGAGAAAGATAAAACTCTATTTCTTTACATCGCGTGTTTGTTCAATGATGAGGAAGCTGATTTGATTGCACCGCTTATTGCTAGCATTGGCTTGGGAATTAGCTCTGGGTTCCAGGTCCTGGTCGATAACTCTCTCATATGTATATCTACCTACGGTGTTATAGTGCGACGTAACTTGCTACGAACAATGGGTCGGGATATCGTTCTTAGACAATCCATGCTACCTGATAGCTTGAAAATAAACAATACACCATCAGTACAATCTGGCGAGTTGGTTGGAATCGAAGATCATGTGGCAAACATGAGTTCTTTGTCAAGTTCGAAATCTGAGGACGAGAAGACGGTTGAGATCTCAGGTGACTCAGGAAAAGGTAAGATTACTATTTCAAGAGTTCTGCTTAGTCTACTCTCTTGGCTATTTCAAATTCTTTTGAACTAAAGATCGATCTAGTTTAATATTCACATGATTTCAACAATTTTCATGATCCGAGAAACTGTTGGTTTGTTTTATTGTGGTTGGTGATGATTGACAGGGGAAGAAATCGATTCAAGTATGGTTGAGCCAGTGGAGCCTCCGATTGGGTTTAGAGAACAAGAAAAACATAACTACACGATGTGGCAAACATTTTTCGAAATTGTCACTAAGTATGTTCCAGTTAAGCCCATCGGGAGTGGTTTTGACGGGGTGGTTTGCTCTGCCATCAACAGGGAGACAAACAAGAAAGTTGCCATTACGAAGATCCTTAATGTGTTTGAGAACAGGATCACTGCTGTGAGAACATTGAAGTATATGAACCTTCTTAGGCATGTGAGGCACGATAATATTATCGCACTCAACGATGTTATGTTGTCTGGTCACAGGACAAGCTTCAACGATGTGTACATGGTTTATGAGCTTATGGATACTGATCTGCATCAGATTATTAAGTCCTCTCAGTCGCTCTTTGATGATCACCGCAAGTACTTCTTGTTTCAGGTACTACAAAATTCTCATTCGGTTAGCATGTGTCTATTTTCCGCTGTCTCAGGTATACATTGATTTATTTTTACTTGTACGTATTAGTTGCTACAAGGATTGAAGTATCTTCACTCGGTGAACATCCTTCACCGTAACTTAAAGCCAGGGAACCTCCTTGTGAACGCCAACTGTGATCTAAAGATATGTGATTTTGGGCTTGCAAGAACAAGCATACGTATTGGTACCGAGTATTGGTACCAAGCCCCCGAGCTTCTTCTCGGCTGTAACAACTACGGAACCTCCATTGATGTCTGGTCAGTCGGCTGCATATTCGCAGAGATTCTTGGCAGAAAACCTATCTTCCCTGGAACAAAATCTCTTAACCAACTAAAGCAAATCATCAACGTTCTTGGTAGCCAAGAAGAATCAGATCTCCAGTTCATAAACAACCCGAAAGCCCGAAGCTATATCAACTCTCTCACGGGCTCGAAGGGTACCCTCTTTTCCAATCTCTATCCGAAAGCCGATACACTAGCTATAGACTTGCTAGAGAAGATGCTCGTGTTTGACCCAACCAAGAGGATAACGGTCACTGAAGCACTCTCACATCCTTACATGGCAGACCTGTTCAACTCTAAACACATCCCACCTGCGCGAGTCCCCAACACTCTGGACATAGATGAGAACATGGAAGAACACACGATACGAGAGATGATGTGGAACGAAATGCTTTACTACCACCCTGAAGCAACTGCATCTCAAAGGCCTTCCAAGATTCTTAAGAGTTCTTAGTGTGTTAAAGACAGCCAGCCAGGCTTCATCGTTCCCAACATCTATGACAAGCTGTTAGCAGAGAGATGGAACGATCCCCATTGGTTTACCAATACCGCAGAAGGAGATTGAGGAACCGAAGGACCAAGCCAAACCAAAGCGGTACTGACATGGTTAAGGATCAGAACAAGTCGGCTTTGGATAAGAACAAGGCAACGGCAACATGAGACACGTCATAGGAATTGCAGGGTTCCTTAATATCGGTTACAGCTTATATATSTTGGCTTGTAGCCACTTTTGCTTTTATCAAGTGGTTGATCAATTTTGTGTGWGAGAGAGAAAGGAGAGTAAGAGGCTCCTCAATACCTTTGTGTTTCCATCTTTTCTTGTAAACAAACCGTTTCTTTCAATCAAAGTTTTCATCTTTATTCATTTGTCAAGGGTTTTACAACTTTCTCTAGTAATTCCCTAACAATTGGTACCAAATTCATTTCGAACCCAGGGACATGGATAAGAACTTACCGGCGTTGTCTCCCACCACCGAAGTTTCCAATGAAACCTCCGTGACTGCGTCCGAAGCAGAGCCCTCGACGACAGAGATGTTCTCTCAAATCCTCATCACGTTGCAGGAGATGAACAAGTCTCTGGCAGCAATGGCGTTCAACCACCGCCAAGACAGATCGGAAAAGGAGCCGTCTTTCGCATCCGCGCATCGTGGCTCATCGCGCGACGCATCTGTGAGCGATCATCGGTCTGGTAAAGCACCGATGTTTACGTCTCCTGACCGCAATGCTCCACCGCAGGGTCAGGCTCGTCCGTATGTGCAGCTGTTCTCCGACCCCCCCCAAAGGACCCGGAGTACTCCGACTGGCAACCGCCGGGTAGACATCCACCTCCCGAGCAGTTTCATCGCCCAAG